GAGGGGGGGTTGGGTGGGATGGGATGGGGGGGATTGAGGTTGTAAAATGAACGACTGAAGACTTGCGTTGGAGTTTTGCTGATGTCTGCTTCGTCGTGCTTGAGCGCGCGAGGGTGTTTTCGGAGAGCGTAGGGCCCTCCTCCTTATCTGGTGATTGACAGCTGGCGATCGCCGCTTGATCGAAGTCACTGGACAGATTTGTGCGGCTCAAGCGGGCCCGGTATTCTCTTTAATCCGCTGATTAGGGTTTGAACCAATTACCCGCCTTAAGCGACGGCCTCGAGATTAGCTCTTGTACCGGACGTACGCCGAAGGGAGTCGGATGTGATGCATCGCCGCCCGAGCGGACACGTCATATCGATGGATGTTTTGTTTTTGTTTTTTTTTTGTTTTTTTCGTTCGTGATGTTGATGTCATTTGGTCATGAAAGGATGCATGGGGAACTCAAACTCAAGCAGCGACGGGGAGTGCAAAGCAAGCCAAGCATGCCTCTGCCCAAAACAAAACAGTTGGTGGCGTGGCTTACTTTTAATGCTCTTTTTCTCCTGTAAAAGAAAGAAGACACAACAGAAATCACTCCTTCTGTTTGTCACATCGAATGCGCCGCATTGATGAGAGCAGGCGTGGCTACCCAAGCGATGCACGAGACACATGACTGAGATCGCGCAAGGGGAAGGTCCAAAAAAAAAAAGGAAGCGGCGCTCTTGCCTTTCTCTTTTTCGAGTGCCATTCTGTCGCTCCGCTAGAACCGACTAAAGGCTTGTTGACCAAGCATCGCTCGTCGACATGGAGCCAAAACCTCGGGGAAATCTCTTTTATCATCAGCGGATCCGACGCACGTCTTCATCGATTCAAAGTAGCTGAGTGAGCCAAAGTCAAGGCGGGAGAAGGCGGGAGATGGAATGCTATGACGTCATGGATCGTGGCGTGACTCCCCCCCCATACACACACACCACACATACACACACACACACATGCGCACACTTCTGCCAGCTTCGCAAAGTCATCCATCACGGAGACAAGCGGACACTGATTGTCCCGCTCATTTAAGACAACAGTCGAGTCGCTGGCCAACCCGCAATTCAAGGTGGTACGCTCAAGACCACGCTGTGAGTGACTGCTCATCCAATTGACTACACCCCCCCTGCAAAAAAAAAAAAAAAAATCTGTCTATATAGATGTGTGTGTGTATATATATATATTTATGCAGGCATTAATAAAATCCACCAGTAAGTGGTTGTTTAATTTGTTTAATAGATGCCACAGATGGTCTAAATCAGGGGTGTCAAACTCTCGGGCCACATTTTAGTTCCCGTTTCCCTTGGAGAGCCGTTCTGACTGAAACCAAAGAAGAAAAGTCAATAATAACGGTTTATTTCAACTATTGTTTAAGTTACTGTAATGAGGGGTTTGGTTACAAGAAAATGCTTTCAAAATTTCTCTTATTTGTGATGTATTAGAATTGTAAATTCTGTGAGAGATTTTAGCAAGCATCATGGAAGTTGACATGTTTGATTTGCTTTCGCGGGCCGCAAAAAATGATCTGGCGGGCCAGATGTGGCCCCCGGGCCTTGACTTTGACGCCTGTGGTCTAAATGGAGATCCTCAACACGTAACAACCATACGATGGCGGCGAAGCACAACTATTGTCCAAATTAATCAGCTCAATTCATTTCAACCTCCTTCCTTGACACCAAAGCAAGACTTTTCTGCAAGTAAATCAAAGAAAATTCCGAGCCGTGAATAAGCGGGGGTTAACCGTACACGGCAAGCCTCTGGAGTATTGTGACAGCATTATGGGATGTCTCGACTGGCTCTTGTGCTCGACTAGATGTGCAAATACCGACATGTAGATGCACGTAAAGAACGAGGGCTGACGGCGGAGATGCGTTCCGCCATTGGCGCTCATCCGGAACGGACGCTCACCAAGTTGGATACTCATTCCAATTCCAGAAAATATCAATGGGAAAAGCGCGTTCTTGGCCATGATGACGTATTCTGACATCAAGCCAAAGTCGATCACTGACGGTAGTGCAGTCATTTTACGGGGAGTTATTGAATGTCGTGCCTTGGATGTATTTTTCATTTACTGTAAAAAATACGGCGGCAACTGCGCTAATGGTGCCTCCGTGCTCTCCTCCCGGGCCATTTGTGACCTCAAATCACATACGGGGAACTGGGCAAATTGAGGAGGCTTAGAATGTTCAAGTGGATGGATCTTCAAGGCCGCCGCTTCCATCAGGAGCGCATTCAATAATCGGGACACGGCAAACAATGTCGGAGAAAAGCCCTGAGAGGACTCGCATTGCAGAAAGTGCTCTTTTGTCACAGGCACAATCAAGCTCTCTGAGAGACACAAGGCTCACTGCACCACTAAAAAAGACACGCAAAGGACGGCCGGGGCCTTTCTCTTCCAGGTTTGAGCCCCGGGGGCCTTATTTGCTCGCCGGAGATCGCTCCGGGAGGAGGAGGGCTCTCAGCCGAGGGGAGGCGCTAAATTCATAATGGCCTACAACACGGCCCATTTGCCCTGCTTCCGTTCACAAACCGAAACCGGGAGGAGGCTGTGATGGTGGACAGGAGGAGGATGGCTTGAAACCCTCCTTGTCACAAGCGCAACGTGTTTTGTTTTGTTTTTTTTGCCTGTTTTTCGGCTGCGCCGGAAGCAAAAACGCGGAGAAACCCTCCTTGTCACAAGCGCAACGTTTTTTTTTTTTTGTTTTTTTTTTTTTTTCCTGTTTTTCGGCTGCGCCGGAAGCAAAAACGCGGAGGCCATCGAATGAATATGACAGTCGAAGCCTTTGCTCGTGGCGAGCGTCTTTTATCGCAGCGGTCCGGCCGTTGGTGAAGGGGACACGAGAAATGCAGGGCGACACCGCGAGGACGGAGGGAAGAAGAATTAAAGGAGAGTGACAATGCCGCCAAGTGCAGCGAGGTCAGAGCCCGCGAGAGGCGGAGCGGCAGATTGAGCCGAGAAGACAGCGCGGGGCTGCCTCTGGGCCGTCATCGGCCAAACGCGCTGCCAAAAGATTGTCGCCGAGACAGCGTTCGAGGAGGAAGGAGCGCTAACGGGGGCGCTCCGGCTTTGACGAGACATGGCGCTCCGCGGCCGCCGCATCCTGCCGTGTTCCCAAACGCGTTCTCGTACGTGGGCTTATCAATCCATCGACTCGTCGTAGACGGTTGGAGATTTCGCTCGACGAATACAACAAAGTCCTGTTTTTTTGGGGCGACGTCATTTTTTTCGCTTTCACTCGACCAACACGAAGTGTTGCTTTGTTTTATTCATCGCGGACACAAACGATGTAAAAAGCTACTTTGGAAAGCGGAGTGTCACTTTTGGCAAGCCGTGGGCTTTTGCTGGCACGTTGGGGCACTGCGGAATACGCAGAGAGTCGAAAGAAGCAGTGAGCTTTTCAGATTTGATTCAACAATAAAAAAAAAAAAAAGAAAAACAGCTGAATCGGTGTGTTTGTCAAGAACGGCGCCGCACAACCAAGTGCGGTCTTTTGGGCCAGATCATTCGATTTACGACAACCCAATTCCCAAGAAAGCTTACACACACTTTTACCTCCAAATGTAATTCACACGCCTCCACGCGTTTCGGATTTAAGGGCAAGGAGTAATCGCGGGCCGAGTGGCGTGGACACGGCACGAGAAGCGGCCTTGTTGTGAACAAAGCTTGGGAAACGATTGCCTCGAAGCGCTCGTCAAAGGCCGTTGTGCTCAGATGGAGGATCTATTTGACGCCGCGGAGCAATCGGCGGCGAGATGACAGCGTACGTCGCCGCGCGTCGTGCGGATGACTTCAAGCCGCCGAGAGAGTCCGATGTAATATTTATCCTGCAACTGCCGCGAATTGAAGAGAGCGGAAAACAGGCGGGCGCGCGTCGGCGGCGCAACAGGGAACGGCCCCGCCCCCCTGTTGCCAAGAAAGCCCGGGAAACGGGGGGCCGGCAAGAAGAGGAAGAAAGAACGACACTTAAGGGAGCAGAGAGCAAATTGGGGACTAAATTAATAAGAGCCCGACAGCGGCTTCAGACCATTTACATTAAAAGAGCTAAATTGAGCCCCCCCCCACCCCCCTGCCTCCCACACGAGACATTTGTCAGAGACTTCAAGGGGTGACGGCAGACAGGCGTCGGGAACGCC